AAACTAGAGGGCATCATGCTACGTGAAATAAATCAGAGAAAGACACAACCTTGGAATTTCACTTATATGTGGAATATAAATTAACAAAACAAATAGATGCATAAATACAGAAAACAAACTATGAGAGGGGAGTCAAAACTGCCAGAGGGAGGGGAGCTGGGGAGTGTGCGCAAAGAAGGTGAACGGCAGTAAGATGTGCAAACTTCCAGGAAAAAAAAGAAGTTATTTGGAAGCACTGGATGAAGAAGTGAATGGGCGGTTGGGAGAAGTCACAGCATGGGTCTAAGTTTTGGCTGCGGGGAATGGTGGTGCCATTTTCCAATGTGTGGACACAGGAAGAGGGAAGGATAGTGAGTTTAGTTTCTTCCCCAAATATGGATAATACACTTCCTTCATATGTTGTTATGACGTTTCAATGAACTGATATGCCATCTTCCATCCCAACTCTGTCCAAAATTTGACAGTGTTTTAGAGAATACAATCTTAATAAACAATCTGATGTACAGGAAGAAAAGCTTGAGAATGGGAGGGCTTGGACACGGGGGGCTCTCTGCAGTTCCTAACATAACAGAGGCACTGTATACCTGTTTGTTGAAAGAATGCTGTTGCTGACGTTAGACCCTTTCTGAACGCGATGTCTACTTAAATCCTGGCCTAACTTTACCAGCACCTAGAAAGTATAGATTCTCTTGCTTGCTTTGGTATTACCTGTCTTTCCTGTCCAGCAGTTTAATTTTTTTAAATGGAAACTGGGCACCCACTACTACTAACACTATCTTACATTTTTATAACATTTTATAGAGTAAGGCAAAAAGTACAGTGCTTCTATCTATAACAGCAAAAGACCAAATGTCCTTAATAGGGGACACGATGAAGAAAATACATGACATCCACACTATGGAGTTCTATGTAGCAATCGAAAGAAATGAGGAGCCCTATACTGGGCTGCAGAGGGATCTCAGGATTGAGGGTAAAATGCAGAACAGTATGCATTTAAGAAAGAGAAATGTAGCTGCTCATAGTAAAGAAAAAAACAGGTAGGTATCATTGACTAATGAAAGTTCTAACTTGTAGGGGAAGGAAACTAACAGGCTGGAAGAACAGAATGGAAGCTCTTTTTTTCCTCTCAAATATACTTGAGTTTATATTTTCAACTTTAGAACCATGTAAATGTTTCACAACAATTTAAAGCACGATCAAATCAAAAAGAAAAGCAATCCTTTAAAACTGAAAACAAATATACCTAATTGGGTATCAAGGTGATGACAAAACTACACAGAGAATTGTTTCAAGTGATTTTAAAACACAGCAATTAAACTCACATCCATTTTAAGATACGTCAAGAACAAATAGAATAAAGAAATACTGAACTATTTAATATTAGTCATATTACTGTTATTTTGAACACAGACATAGCTGTATAAATGGTGCTGGGAACTAAGATTTTCATAGAGGGAAAGATAAATATTAAATCACAGAAATTAAATAAAATCTCAAAATCCTAAATTTGGACTGGAAAAAGCAATGTGAATTCATGATGCATTTTTGTCTTCTTGGTTCTGACCACTGAAAATGTCGATAAATAATGACAACCCAGCACAACGTGTACTCCTAACACCCAATTTGTGCTTTTAACATACCCATACTATTTTCCACTAAAGAACCACGGTTTTTGGAGAAATGGCCAATTCCAAGCCATAACAGAACTCAAAAGTGATAAGCTCTGGGCATTTTTTTGGCCAGAAAGCAAGGAAGCAATTAAAGACAACGGGGTCGTGACAGAGGTGCCAACTTGATTAGGCTCCCATTAGTCAAGCATGGGACAGTTTGAGTATTAGAAAAAAAAACACACACACACACTGTCTGCAATAGAAAATATGTGTTTAAAATTCATGAGTTCATAATGAAAAGGGGAAGGGGAGAAACACCCTACTGATCACCTCTAAAAGTGCTAGGATGCGAATTCATTATTCTGAAAACTGAAAGAGGGAACTAATCAAGCATCCGTCGTGTCTGTCCTGCCTGCCTGAACTGTATTTCACCGTATCCCAACAGTGCTGAGAAAAAGTTCTTTATAGAAAACTAATGCTAATACAAGAGGAATGCTAAAATAGGAAAATAACCATTTTGTGGTCCCAATGAAATAATGGATCTAAGCAAAAATCATTAGGTAAAAGGCTGTGGGCACTTCATAATGGATCAATCAGGCTGACCGTGAACCCACTGATCAGTCTTAATCACTACAAGTGGTAAAAGCAATAGCACATCCCCCTGATTTGACTCAATAGCAAGTGTAGAGCACCCCCAATGAGGTAATTTCAGTAACAACAACAACAAAATTACTTAAATCTAATTAACTCTCCAGATCTAATTTACCAGTTTTCAGGAAATGCTGGGATGGAGAAGTATGTTAAAGCGACACCGTGATAATTTAGTAGCAAATCTCTACCACAGAAATAACCCAACTTCCTCAACAAATAAACAAGAGAAAATGGAAGGGAGGGAGAAATTGTTTTCTATTAAAAAGAGACCTAAGAGACAACCCACAAAATGCAATGTTTTGGGATTCTGATTGGAACAAACCAAATGTGAAAGTCCACTTTTGAGACAACCTGGGAAATTTGAACATTGACTGAAAATTGGATGATACAGAGAATTATAGTTAATTTCATTATGAGCAATAATACTGTGTTTAAATTTCAAAAATACAGTATTTATAAGAGGCTCTGTGGGGAAAGTGAAGGTTCCTATGGCCAGGATTCTCACCTGGCCCTTGTCCCCTTGCTCACTACACGCGTGTGGGCAATACCTTGTTATTGACTCTATAAAAGAGCTCCACCCAGTGCTCTGGGTGACACGGTGGCACAGCTGAACCGCTGCACAGCTGCAGGAGAGCAAAGTGGTGGCTGCGCTGAGGACAGAGACTGAGATGGCTGCAGAGGTAGAGAGGCCTGGAGGCAGAAACCAGCTGGCTGCATGCAGACTTGATCTGAGTGGACGGGATTCTAGTGACTGACCTGCCACAGTGGGAATAAAGTTGGGTACAAACCATTTTACCCCAAGAACATTCCACTATCATTCCTTGGTCTCTGTGAATCCATAGTAAACTTGTCTGGGGCTGAAACCCCTTGGCAAGACAGGCTCTTTTACAAACATTATACTAATGCTAGACACCCACAAGATGTCCAATAAACACTAGTTAAGAGAAATGACTGGAGCAACACTCCCCTGTAAACATTCTATTTCACGCTCCCAAAATAAGAGGATAAACCCTTGGCCTATTATTCAAATCACTACCCTCCATCACCTCACTACCAGTCCCAACTGTATTTCCCAAGACTCGTCTTTGTGCCTCTCTATTTCCAAACTGGACTATTGGCAGTTCTCTGTACAGGTCTCATGCATACCTTTGAAGAACCTGGAATGCCCTTCCACCATCTCTAATGAAGACTCATTCCAAAAGTTAGCTCCTATATGAAGACTTCTTTGAACCTCCCATCAGAAGTCATTATTCCTCTAGTTTGCCTTTGACATGTTGTCTTGCCAATGGATTTCAGCCCCCAGCAAGTTCACTATGGATTCAATGTGACCAAAGAAATGACAGTAAAACGTTCTTGGGCTGAAAGGGTTATATCCAACTTTATTTCTGCAGTGGCAGGTCAATCACTAAAATCCCGTCCATTCAGAGCGAGTCTGCATGCATCAAGCCAGTCGCTGCCTCTGGGCTGCTCTGCCCGCACAGCTGTCGTCTGGGCCCCTCTGTCTGCACAGCCATCCTCTGTGCCTCTCTGCCTGCACAGTCATCCTGCACAGTCATCCTCTGGACCTCTGTCCTTGGCACTGCCACCACTCCAGCCTCTGCTCTCTTGCAGCCGTGCCACCCTGTCGCCCAGACCACTGGGCGGAGCTCTTTATATATAGAGTCAATAGCAACATATTGCCCACTATGTGTAGTGAGCTAACCAACCATGGCTAGGTGAGAATCCTGGCCACAGGAACTTTCATTTTATCCACACATGTATAAAAATCTTACCTTATACAGTAAGATTTTTTTGTTGTATTTGTTGTATTATACAGTAAGATTTGTATTTTGTTGTTGGTATGTACTTACTATGGCTCTATACATTCAGCAAATACTGAACACCTACTGTATCTTAGGCCTGTGCTAGGGACCAAGTATGCTACAATGGATAGACAAACATTGTCCCTGACTACATGGAGGTAACAGACTATTAAAGGATGACTAAAATTACACTTACTTAAAAAATTACTCAAAATTATGAGAAGTGTTATCAAAAAAGAGGTGTAGGAGCTATAACAGGATACGAAGACACAACTGAACTCTGCCCTGTAAGTACATGATTTAGGATTACTTTAAATTACAATTCAGTGTGCCTTAATTTTTGACAACGCATATCTCTTGTGACTGTTCAAGGCTTAAAAAAAATACGTAATGCCATCCCCTGGCACACAAGTAGGCCCTTAATAGATGTTAGTTCTTATTCCCAGCAACTGTGCCCACCTGGAGAGAAACTGTGTTTGATTAAGCTTTGGATCCTAATCCCCTAGCTCTAGGTCTGCCAAAAGACATGAACCTAATAAGCATTTCAGAATGAGGTAAAACAGGAAAGGAAGAAAGATGTACTAGAAACACCCAGCATTTGCATCAGGAATCTACTTGAGATGGGGAGTAGCATTATTCCCAATTTATAGGTGACTGAGACTCATAAAAGAATGGGGTCCAACAATATTATAATACGTGAGTTCCAGGTCCAGGACTTTTCCTCTCCAGATGAGCACCTTTCTTTCTACCAGAACTCTGCAACTCCAGCCCAGAAGCCAGGACGAGGACAGGGGCCCTTCCCAGAAGGCTTTGCAGCGCCGCGGAGAACTCTGGGATACACATGGATAAACAAATCCAAAGCAAGGCCAAGACCTGGGACCGAGAAACTGCGTCTTAAGTCCGCTGAGTGCCTTCCCCGTCCCTTTTGTCTGCTTACCTCTCCTGGGGTTCCCACTATCGGGGGCCTCACTAACGCCTGCAAAGGCCGGGAACAGCGCCATGATCGCAGACCGAACCGCCGTTCCCCTCGACAAAAATGGCGCGGGCGAGCGGACACCAGTAGCGCTGCCGGCGCGTTCGCGGTGCACTCTGGGAAGTGTGGTTTTCCTGGCTGGCTCGGGGACCCAGACCAGGACCAGGCGGTGTAGGACGCGACCCGGAAGGGAGTGGCGGGGCGGGACCACTTCCCAGTAATTGATCCCTGAACTCTTCTGTGAGAGCGGGAAAATGCGGAAGCCGGGAGGTGAAACTGTTCAGACCCGAAGTGGTAGGAAGTTGGGATTCCAGTTTTGCCCATGAACTCACACCGTTATGTACTAACTGGGTCAAATTAATAAAACTCTCTAAGCTTTAGTTTCCCCATCTGCAAAATGTTTAGAAGATTAAATGAACATATAGGTAAGGTGCTTAGGTAGCATTGTGCCTGGCCATTGGAAAACACTTAATAAAAGCTGTTACGTGAGTTGTGATTCCAAGTCCGACGCAAAAAGCCAAGTGAGATACTCAAATTTTGATCAATTACTATTTAAAATATCTTAGGAATTTAAAGGAATGCAAGACCCTATCAAGTTCAAAGGTCTTAGCTAGTTAGAAAATATACTTACCTGCCTATGATGTATTCTTAACCCAAAACAAACAAAAAAATCTGAATCTGATCAGGCCTGCTACCAGAAATATAGAGAGAGGATAAAGGAACATTTTAAAAGGTTCATGCCACCTACAAGCTATCAGTCAAATCCAGAATGTGGGAAATTATGGAAAACAACCCAATTTCTCCTGCAAATCAGTGGCTTTAAGGGGACAAAAGATTGCAATAGGTTAAAAGACCTAGAGACATTGCCCTTCGTTATGATTCTGATTGAACAAATTGTAAAAAGATGGGCAAATAAAAGGTGGACAGAGTATTAAATGACTTCATGTAATTCTTGTTCATTCTGTTAGATGAACTAATGGCACTAAGGTTACTTTTAAAGTTCTTACGCATTAGTGATACATACCCTATATAGTGGAGATACATATCTGTGTCTGTAACTTGCAGGTGAAAATAGATAAATCAAAATAATATTTCCACTGCAGGGAGGTCAAAAATAGGAAAGTGGCAGAGAGATAGATAGGAAATGTATTAGAAACCAGATATGCAAATCTAATCAAGGAATGAACAGACTTGAGAAAGCTGCAGTCCCATATAAGTCCAAAATGAACACCCTTTAAGCTTTGAAGGCGTGTACATACTAGTTACAGAAGGGGGTTTAGTATGACAGTAAGGACAGGAAACCCCGGCATGTCTGCAGTTTTAAAACTCAGGTCTTACCAAAATCTCTGGCTCTAAGTTACCTCAATTAATTGAGGCAGCATACACTTCCTTTAGCAGGTCCTTTCAGATAACTAGGCTGGTGGACAGACTTGCCCAGGGCTTTGTATCTTTCTACTGTAAAAAATAATTCATGTGGAAGATTTAGGAGAACCAAAACCATAATAGTAATGTTTCTCTAATAAAAAGCAATCATAAGTAATAAAAAGTAATCCAGGCACATTAAGTATTTTCTATAATACAAATTTATACAAGAATTTGACTTAAGAGACTCCTTATAAGAATAAAAAGTTTGCAATCAAGTAACTGATAGAGACTCCTGCTTTTCAGTTGACATCTTTTGAAATTTAGACACAGTTTCAGAACATGTAATTTAAAGTTTACTATATTTATAATTGATTAGCTTTATAAAAATTAAAACTGGAAGAAAATTGATATATGGTCAGGTAACTAAAGTACCTGAAAAGGAAATAAAGTGTGTTAAATTTATAAATTTATATGAAACATATGAACACTGAGTAGAGTTCAGCAAATCTTTTCTTTAAGGGCCCGAAGGTAAATATTTTAGGCTTTGTGGGCTACAGTTTGTTTTAATTTATAAAGGTAGCTAATTAAACACTGCCTGGTATAATACAGGACCCTTTGAGGTTGGCAATCTGTGGCCTGTGGGCTCATCACTTGTTTTTGTAAATAAAGTTTTATTAGAACACAGCTCTGCCCATTCATTTATATATTTATTATCTATGCCGGCTTTCCCAATACAGTGGCAGAACTGAGTACTATCTTTATAAATTAAACATTACTCAAGAACCCTTAAAATTATTGCTAAAATTAGCTAGACTTATACGTAAAATAAAATTTGTAAGCTGAACTTGAATGTTTAAAAACATTGTTCTTTAGTTAAAACATTTATTCCTTTATATCCAAAAACCAGTTTTCAGGAAATGAAGAAGACAGAGGAACATGTTAAATTCCATCAGGGGATGCAAGGAACAAAACCCTGATTGTGAGAAACTGTATTGAACAATCTCCTGGCTTCTTCAGCAAATAAAGCATGGGGGAAAAAGTAAAGCAAAAGAACCAAAAGGAGACATATATTTTAAAAGACTGAAAAGGCATACGACCAATAGAAGTGTGCAGATCTTATTTGTATTGGATTCAAATTGTGTAAGTAAAATGATGACATTTATGAAACAGTTGAAAATTTGAATACTAGCTGGATATTTGATAAAATTAAGGAATTATTGTTAAATTTTTATAGGCATGACAATGGTGTTGTGGTTATATATGCTTTAAAGAGTCTGTACCTTTTAGAAGTACATACTAAACGACTTGCAAGTGACATGGTATGATGCCTAAGACTGCTTCAAATAGGAAAGGAAGTCAATGGGTGAAGGTATGGCTGATACAAGATTGGCCCTGAGTTGAAAACTGGTGAAGCTGGGTAATATATATATATAGTCACTGTTTTGGACTTTTTTGTTAGTATGTTGAAATGTTCCATAATACAAAAATTTTAAACTATACCTTAAAAAGCTTATCAATAAAAAAGAATAAACTATTGATACACACAGCATGATTGAATCTCAAAATCTGTATGCTGAGTAAAAAAAAGCCAGGCACAAAAGAGTACTTACTGTATGATTCTATTTACATACATTTCTAGAAGATCAAATTAATAATAGTGACAGGAAGCAGAGCAAAGTGGTTTCCTGGCTCTGGGAGCCGAGGGAAGGGATGTTCTGTCGGGGGGCAATGGAGAATCTCTTGGGGGTGATAGAAATGTTCTTTGTCTTGATTGTGGTGTTGGTAGCTTCCCATAAATACCTGGTTTTTTAAAGCTTAAGAACATACTAAAGTTTTCAATTTGTTGTTTTAATAAATGGAACACTAATCTTTTAAACTAGGGTCAGCCAAGTTTTTCTGGAAAGGGTCACATGGTAAATACTTAAAGTTAGCAGAACATATGGTCTCTGTGGCAGCTACACTGAAATTTGAATTTCACACAATTTTCAAATGTCACAAAATATTACTCTCCTTTCCTTTTTTTCCAATATTTACAAACATAAAAAGCACTTTCAACTTGTGGGCCATGCAAATCAGCAGTGGGTCAATTTGGCCCTTGGACATAGTTGGCTGGACCTCTGCAAACTTTTTATTGTTAGACAAAACTAAAAGTAAACTTTTGAATATTTTCTGCATAGAAATAACCACCCCAGAGGGCACAAACAACACATTATTATTATTATTACTATTATTATTACTATTATTATTATTATTGTACTCCACAGACTTTGGGTATTTCTAATGCCCATGGCAGGGATTTCTTAGAATAAGCCAAACATGGTTAATATGATTTGGCTTTGTATGTAACGACTAAAGGATGAGAATGCACTACTTAACCACTTTTAAGTGCTTCTATTCTTCGTGGCGGAGATTACTCAGTCTAGATTGGTAGGTTGGTGTTCTCATCTATCTCACTCTCTAGTATATTCTTATTTAGCCTGCATCCATGTCACAGATTTTGATTACCTCTGGACACTGACAAGAGGGAATTTTTTCTCTGTAGCTTGGAGGAAAAAAAAGGTATGTGAAGGAAAAGGGGGTAAATTGTGCCAGAGAGATCAGGGAAAGGGGCTTTATTTTAGTTGCAAAGGACTTGGAAGAGAGATGTGACTTGGCCATGAGGAATGAAAAAGAAATGAGCATGCATATGGGCAGAAAACTATAGAAAACAGCCTTTAAGCAAATGCCATAAAAGGCACAACATGAGCAAAAGGATTGCTAGAGGCAGTTAGATGCAAAGTAGGTAGGTGCTCAGTTCTTGTTTATTGGCAAAATAGCACCTACATAATTCCTATTTACTTTTGGAGAAGGATATTGTGGACAGATAGTGGGCACCTTTGGTTCCTCTTTAATTAGCACCCTCTTTTTGGAATCTACAAGGTGGCTGTGTTGGTACAATGGAGCCTCGCTATCCTGGTCTCATCTGGTCGGTCAGGGTAAGAAGTGACCAAACCCGGCCTAGTCTTTAGTTGGTAGGTGCTCATCCCAGTTCTGACCCAAGCCAGGCCAAGCAATATTATTTTCCAGGAACTTTGGAACTAGAACTGAGAAGGAGAAGCTGTTATCTCTTTGTGTGTCTGAACTGTAAGATGTAACAGCCCAGAGCTGGTGGAGGAGCAGAAGAAACCTGCCTGTGGAAAGAATGAAAGCAGGTTTGAGTTGGAGAAGAGGGTCCCAGAATTTGAGAACTCTAATTCTAGTCACTGAGCCCCATTCCTCAGCTTGGATTCTAGGAAACAGCCCAATATCCTATACTTTCCCCATTTCAGTTAAACAGGTTCGAGTTAACTTTCCATCAAGAGTCCTAAGTAATGCAGAATGAGTGAGTGAATGACATCTTTTCCGTACTCGAGGTCATAATCCCTGGAGGTGTTCCAATTAGTTTCAGTGATGAATGAGACTTTTAAACTGGTCTACCTAGAACATATAAAAAAACAAACCCCTTTCATCTTAAGATGGAAAGAATCTTCACTCACTAATTTAGGCAAACTGGAGCAACAGGTCTATCAACTTAGTCAGTCTTAAGAAATTTTCTTGTAGTCCTCAGGAAGTAAAAGAAAGAAAATGTGCCTTTGGAAACCAGAGATATCAGGAAGGAAGCAAAAGAGAAGAGCCTGAACCAATTTACTGGTGTGATCCGCTCTCCTTTTTTGCGGGGAGGCATGGGGAGGACAGGAATGTCTTAGGTTGAAAACGCCT